ATCCTAGCCGTATCGAAAATCGATGCGGAACAAAGAACACATGTCCCGCCGCCGCGTGACGCGGCGAAGATTTTTCCTACGGTCCGCCGTCTAATTTCCGCGTGTCTCTCGCCGATCGCGAGACAATGTAATTGTAGAACAAACGCGATCCAGTTGAAAGAAAACCGTGGCGAGCTCGCTGTTTGAGGACGCGCACGCGCCACTCTCGTGCGATTACGGCCTCGATGGAGAACCGCCATCGGAGGGGCTGGGGAGCCCTCCGGTTCAATCTAACGCGATCGGACCGACGTATCTATCTGCGGACAAGGGAAATCGTAGACGAGCGTCTAATCCGTCCCGATCCGATCCGATCCGATCCATTCATCTCGCAGCCGTATTTCGCGCACGTACGTCGCGTGGATCCCGTGCACGTGCACCAGAGCCCCCGACGATCATCCGTGAGAAGCGAAACGTTCGCTCGCGGAGGCGATAATCTCGTCCCGCGAGCGCGCACAGTTTGGCACGGACCGACACACAGGCTGATCGTGCTTTCTAATTATGTTTACACGCACGCTTGTACACGGAGGATTCACGGATCCGGCCCTCCGTGTGTGCACATATGTGGCCTCCACGGCGACTGCCCGTCAATTCCAACTCGAACAGCCAAAGTCGCGAGAAAAACGAAACTGCATTTTTCGAATTTAGATCAAGACCTCTGCGACTGACATTATCGTCTCGGCACACCGTTCAAGCACGTATGACGACGGTAGCAATCGGCGAAAAATTTAGAGCTTTACGTAAAACAATTATTTTACAAATGAAAGAGATGACTTAATAATTTTACATGTATACGTTAAGATGAGATCCTTCATTATCCCCTATTACACCTGGTATCGTTTCGTCCCGTCTTTCCTCTAGGAATGTCATGAAAAACTTGAAAGGGAAGGGATTTATATATACGAACTCACTGAGACTGTGGCTGTTCATTTCCACCTTGCGTCCGTGCACGAGCTGCGGCGTATGGCGCGGCGAAGATTTATCTACGATTTTGCCGATAATATCACGATGAACTTTCGCGCATCCTATAAATACCCGCGAGTCTCCCGTTGTTAAGTCAACTGCGCCCGACGTCGTTAATAGCTTCCCCCTTTTTCATATATATATATGTATATATTATATAAATTTAACCTTCTAAAAATGACAAGAATATATGCGTATGTTTACGTTACCGTAGTGTATAAGTTATGTATATGTACCATAAATAATCGTTATCATGGTTATTCCATCATCTTTGTCATTTTAGCGTTATTTGGTTTATCATTAATATATATATATGTATATTAATGTTATGTCGTCAATTCGTAACTAGAGTTCTTTCAAGCGCTTTCCTCTTCGTCGTATAATTAGCCACGTACGTGCACACGTGTGCACGCACGATTACACACGCGCACGTGCGTGAGCCACGTACACTGGGTGTCCATTAATTGCATCGCGCGACGTGCGTACCGCGCGCGTTGCACATTCGGACGAGCAACAAATTCGCGGGGCGAAATTGTAAAACGAGAAGAGTTTTGCTCGTCCAAAAACATAGGTACAATATGTATATATATATCTATGTACATAGGTGTGTGTATGAATGTGTCTATGATGCGCGTGTGCGTGTGTGTGTGTGTGTGTGTGTATAATGCAATATGTAAACGTAAAATAGCCGTGGCAGCGCGCCGGACCAAGCAATTTCTCGTCTCACTAAACTCGTCCCTTTCCCGTTCCCCTCCCCGCGTATATATCCGCGTAATAATTTATTAGACGTTGATTTAGCTAAAACTAGAATAATTTACTAAGTTTCTAATTCCTTTCGATCGATACATATATACGCATGTACACACGTCACGGTCGTAAATGTGTGTGTATGCGTACGCATATATATAATATTATATATATGTATATATACTATATAAATATATATATAATATTTAATATTTATCATATATACATACATATATATATAGTACGTAGGTATATATATGTATATATGTATATTGGTACTTTGGATGATTTCCGCTAGATCAGAGTTTTCCTCTCCGCTCCATCGCTCACCTACCCTATGCGTATTTCATATATTCGGTCTGTCCCATTCTTCCCCCACCCCCTTCCCCATTCCTCCCATCTTCCCCTCCCTCGCCGTCTTCCCTCTGTTCTTTGGCTCTCTTTCGCGAACTCGCTCGAGACACTCTGCGTATCCGACCGGGCATCGCACGCGAAATGTTCAAGTTTTGTCTATTTCAGCGACAGGAATTCCGCATGAACACACATGATTGATCGATTGGGCGTACCGAACTCACATCCGGCAGCATGCGCGGTCCTCTTCTCGCGAAGAAAGAAAAAATACGTTGAACTCAATCAGTAGCTTTCAGAGCCCCGGCCAGCATCGACTAAAGCGTACAGTCAATTGAATCCCTCATTGCACGATAATGAGCTCCTGTAAGCTCCCCACCCTAAACTCAATTTCTTTTCATACTTAAAACATAAAGTCGAACGTAAAAAAACACTATTCCCTAACTGTTTGTTCCCCTTTCTGCTATCGCAGCCTAAAGAAAGACGACAGGCGACTCTAAATATTGCATTTTACACAACATTACTATTCTTATATCATTTTTCTTTGGTTTCCCTCACGCTTCTCCCGACTTTTTTCCCCCTATTTCAACAACAACAGAAGATAGCGTCGTTACTAATAAAAACTTAAAGAGGACTATCATTGGCGACATCATCTGGATAATCACAGCCTGGCTGACATTTCTCGGGCGATGCTTAACCGATCAGGCAAAGTCGATCGTCGATCCGATAAATCGGAGCGAACCGCGGAATCGATGGCGGGACGGGCGGGGCGATCGCGCCCTCACACGCGATTCCTTCACTCGATGTTCACGCAGGAACCACAACGGAATAGATTATACTTTCGGCCGGAAACTCGCGCGTCACTTACTTAGCGTTAATTACAATGATAATCACCATAATAGTAATAAGAGCTATTTAGTCGCGGAGGACGAGCACCGTGCGGACGCGCGCGAGTAGGACAGGACTTTCTCGCTTCCTCCTCGACGCGTAGCACGACGCGCGCAAACTCCTTCCTCACGCACACTCCCTTTCTCTCTCTCTCTCTCTTTCTCTCTCTCTCTCTCTCTCTCT